GCCTTCTAACTGCTTCTTCAACTTGAGATTTTCATTCTCTAGTCTTGTTGACTTCATAATCCTCATTATTCTTTTTTTTCTCCTCTGTTGCTATGGTTTGTGCCTCGATCTCACCATTTAGTCTTCAGCTCCGTGAACTTCCAAGCGAGGTCCTATAAGCCTTATTTTGATCAGAAATAACAAGCTTGTCTTTAGCTTGTTGTAAGTGGAGGTTTGCAACATGATCCTTTAAAGTGGTGATTTGATACCTATCCTCTTCCAACTCAACCTGCAATATTGCCTTTTCTTTCTCTAGATCCTCAATCAGTGCTTTACAAGCGTGCTAGCGACCTTATTTTGACTTTGCCTGCAGCTCAAACTTTTCCGTTGTAAGATCCACAACTTAAGCACTGAATATCCCGCCTAATTGTTCCAAGTCAACCACTCTTTTTTCCAGCCCTTAACGAGTGGGCTTTACCTTGCCAGCATTGTGACTAATACAATGTGTACGTCCACCACTGCCAAGGTGACACTGCACTCTCTATGAGTGGTAGGTGGAGTAGATATCTGTCAAGTGATTTGTCCATTTTTCTTTGGCTCAACAAGCGGATCACGGGACCCACTGAAGTACTTCACTCATATACTCGCTTTCACATAGTCATTCTGGGTCAAGTCCACCAACGCCCAGACCCTTTTCACATTCAACACAACTCTTCAAAATTGAAGTCCTCCCATGAGGCAGCTTCTAGTGTAATGGTCGGTGAAGATGCTTTTTTTCTCTTCAGCTACACCTCTACTCTGGGCCTGTTCGAGCATGGCTCTTTCAGAGTAACCGAGCACAATGTCATTTTACCTTTGCCTTATGGAATCGGTTTGTCTTGGGGAATGGCTCACAGTTTTTAAATCCGCTAAGTAATCTCACGCACCGTACTAATTGGTCTTCTTCGACAATGTAAAAGAGAAGCAGCATCCTCTTCTTTTTGCAGAGCAAACATCTTGACTGCAGACTTGCCACCCGCACCTGCTTGCAATTTGGTGGATTCTTCCTCTGAAGTCATCACAGGCATCGACCTTCCGATTTCACTTGCATCCCTGTGCACAGAAAGATCCATGAGTGTGTGTTGTTATCCACTCTATAGGTGAACCGCTAGGGGTTCTCATGGCTTTGCCTGCATTCACAAAGACAACATGTAAGATAAGTGGTTGGTTAGTCATTGCAATGCTCGGGAAATTCGGCATTGCTTGATTATCATCCCAGAAAATTCAGAAAATGTACCATATAATATTTTTTTTAAGAATTCACTCTTTGATGTTAATCTCTTACCCTCGTAAGAAATCAGGGTTGTACAACTCTTCATGAGTCATCGGGAAAAGCCTTGACCTCTCTCTCACTAATGGTTGAGGTGTCGTTGGGCTCCTCCAACTGCTATTACTCTGGAAAAAGTAGAACTTTTTTCTCCAATCCCGAACTTTGCTTTCGAGACCAACCATCACCGCCTTCATGGAAGATAATATAACTGTGTTGTTGGCATTTGCTTTCGGTGTAAACAGGTGCTGGAAAAGGTTCACCGACTAGTATAATAGATGCGACCACACAAATAAGATGAAAGACGCCATATCGCAATCGTGTTCAGGTAGATATGCATTAGCACCACCCCATAGTAATTCAAGATGTCAACCATCTCTTCGCGCAACAGGGAGTAGAAACCTAGCTTGAATAGGTCATAGTAGCAAAAAACTTTATGATCATGCACAATGTTTGGCACCTCATCTTCTCTCGCCAGCCGCAGAATCACGATGTTGCCAAATACATAGTTGATTTGTAAATCAGCTAGTCTTGCTATCCAACTTCGACCCCGCCTAGAACTTTGCAACAAAAAATGTCGCATTGCTATTCTCCAACACTATGGACATCTCCAACATGAAGTAAGGATTAGCATAAAGAGCTATGCTGACTAGTCTAAATTCTAGTCTACTTGAAAATGTCAAAAGAAAAAAATCGAGAACACCACTTATATCCTCCTTGGCGCGGAAAGGAATGAAAGTGAATCTGAACCGATTATATGTTTTAAATTAATTCCATTGACAATGATGGAAAAATTAAAAGAAAAGAAGGTTCAACTACTCAAGCACAGAACTAAGTGTAAAAATGATTTCGAGATGACAGTTACAGATAAAGCAAAATTAATTGAACAAAAGACAACCGTCAAGTTAAAACATTATCTTTCTACAAATCAAGTTCACACGGAACAAGTACAAGACATAATCAAATTACAAATATATTTATAAATATAAAGGTCTTCTCTTCCTCCACATCATCCAGGTTGACCTGGCCGGACTAAAGGAGCCTTTGCAAGACAAGTCGCCTGTCAAACAAGAATTGTTCAGACTAAGTCAATTCAAAACGCTGTTGAAGGAAGGTTAACATTGGCTCCATCTCTTCGAGTCTATGTTGCGTTTCTTGGGAGATTGTGAAGGTTGTCACAGACCTCAACTCAACTCTTCCCACCCCCAAACCACCCACCCCAAAAATACACGCCCCCCATGCATGCCTTGGCTTCATGCAAGTCTGTTAAGGTTGTCACCGACCTCACCTGAAAATTCTACAATGTGTTTCCTAGCTTCTCGTAAGTCCACGCAATCAGCTCTTTCCTGAGATCTCCCAACTGCGCCCAATGATCAACAACTTGTCCGGACGAGGTATCTCCCATCATTTTCGACGTGACCTACAATTCTCCAAACGGAGCAAACACCTTGCATGTCATGCCTGTCTCGGAATTGACATCGCCTTCCTCAGAATCATGTGCACCTTCCTCAATGTGAACCTCTTCAAGCATCAAGTGATCATTTTCGGTTAGGAAAGAAAAAAATAGAGCTAGCAAAGGATGGTATTTACCTCTAAGGGGCATATTAGCACTAGATTGTTTCATTCAGGCCTAATCTTCTTGTGCCTGCTTCACAAGACTTCGGCCCTCTATCCCTCACCTTGTCAAACTACCGTTCAATGTCAAACGAAGTTCGGAAATGACTCATCAAGCCTCTACATGGATATGGATTTCACTTTCAAGATGATAAAGAATAATGTTATTACCGCCATAACTAAGGTCAGGAAGCATCAAGATGTTAGATCCCTTTAATCCGCTCAGTACATCAAACTTATGAGTTACTAAAGGATCATTCAGATCAGTAGTAATGTGTCCTAATGGGAAGGGATCATACGAAGGTGCTGCCACTACTACTCTAGGCACAACCTGAGATAGGATCAGAATGGGAGCATCATTGGCGGCACAATTTGAAGGGGCCCTTTTCTAGCTACCCCTTAACCTACGACCACTAGGGATGTCAAACAAGCTCATTGTTTGTGAATAGTTCATGTTCAGTTTGTTAAGTTGTTTGTGTTTGAATCGTTCGTTAAGTAATCTCGTCAAGAATACTCGCCCTTGTCAAATAGCTTAGCCACTTGAAAAATTGGTCTCCCGATTTAGGCAAATAAATGCCCGAGGCCTTGATCGGCAAAATCAGTAAATTCGAACGACTCCTTATTGAATGAGAGAATGTCCCCAGGTGAGCAACAATCCGCCTTTACTTAGAAGTCCAAGCGATATTCCTTATAGGAGAGTTGTGAACCCCATGCAAAGGATAATCCAGACCCAACATTAAGCTTAAGTGGCTACCCCATGAAAGAAAACTGTTGCCCCAATGAAGGACGGTCTAAACCCAAATAAAATTAATTTGGCACTTCGCCACCCTCTAGCCGAGTTGTGACTGTGATGAGCATAAAATTTTCCAGCATGCAAAAACCTCAGATTCTTCATTTACTTATTCTTTTTGTAGTAACCTTTTGAAGAGTCAAATGAATCTGGGAATTAAATATATTCCAATAAAAAACTTACGGGCCAAGCATTTGTTGATAGGCCTTGCGGGCCCATGAAGCCCACACTTTTAAAAATATGTTTGCTTGTTGCTGAGTTAGACGGTTGACCTGTCAAGGTAATTGCCCAGCCTCACCAGTTGAAGTGCCGAAAATCACATAATAGATGTCGGGTTTGACTTGCCAAGGTGATTTGTTAGCCTTACTTTGTTTAAATGCCACTTGTCACCTCGATCGTACATTTACGTCCATCTATGGATCGTCTAGCATTTGTGAGATCACCTTCCTTCATCGATGTTCTAAGGACAAGGCCCTTATGGTATTATAATTATTTAATATTTTTTTCTTGTTATTCGATAGAGGAGAGAAGTCATCTAGGATCATGATAAGTAGAGGCTCTCCTACCTTCTTGAGGATCTTCTTCTCATCAGCATATTCTAACACACACACACTCTCTCTCTCTCTCTCTTTCTATCGCCTCTCTTATAATCATTCTGAATGAAAGAGAGGGAGAACCTCCAAAGCATCAATCATCCTCTAACACCTCTTTTCTTCATAGGTTTCCTCTGGGTTGTATAAGCTCTCGAACGATACTAGACTCGACGTCCTAAAAAGATTCAACAAAAACTATCTTTACAAAAGCTGCAACGCCCCCAATCAGACCACAGTTCTGTTTGAGGATTTATTTTTTACAATCAGATATGTTAATACGTAGTGGTTATTAGAAAGTTGTTGGCTGACTTTTTTTGAAAAAAATAAATATTTGTAATTATTATCGCAACATTCTATGAAGTCGTTTTTCCCGCAACAACTTTATAACTATTTTTATAAAAAGCTGCAGCGCCCCCAAAAGGGATCTAAGTAAATAGGTTAGGTTGACTTGATAGCTAAATATGTAAATTAAATAGCTTTTAGTGTTAGATATGTAGATTCCCTTTAAATTACTCTTTTTTCTTTTTTCCCTTTTTTTTTTTTTTGTAATGAAGACAATGTGTGTCCTTGGCCTCTGATTTTTTCACCATACTCTTAGTAATTAACTAAAATAGTTTGATTGTTTCTTTTTCTATCTCTTATCCCTGTAATCAATAGCCCATAAAATCTGCAAAAAACTCTGAGAAGCTTCTTTAATGTTTAATTCTAATATCTACAGGTTCAGATAGGGAATTCTCCAGTCTATAAAATTGAAAGGAAGCTTGGGAAAGGAGGATTTGGTCAAGTTTGTGTTGGGCGCCGGATTTCAGAACCCACCGCCAAAGAAAGAGTCTCTGGCATCAATGCTCTAGAAGTGCGCCTATTTTGTAACTACTTTTTGTGATAAGGTTGATCACAATCATTGTTTTTACATAGTAACCTTTTTTGTATCTTGATGTAAATATTAACTTCAGGTGGCACTAAAGTTTGAGCGTAGAAACGGCAAGGGGTGTCATCATGGTCCCCCTTGTGAATGGCAAGTTTACAAGTATGTCCTTCTATTTTTGTACATTTCATTTCCTTATATATTATTTTGAATTAGTCTCACAAGCTTTAACTTGCCCATTTTAGCAATCTTAGTGGCACTCATGGATTGCCTCGAGTGCATTACAAGGGTTGCCAAGGCGACTACTATGTCATGGTAAATTTCAGTCTCTCTATCCTGATTAATTCTAGGAAAAATTTACATACATACCTCTCAAATCCTATGGATTTACATATTTGACCTGTAAACTTAAATTTTTACGCACTGGTTATCTTATTTATGCACGAAATGATGTATGTAACTTTTTTAAAAGTTAAAATAATGATTTTTTTTTATGTGATATGTAATATATGGGCGATAGAATGTGAAAAAAAATAAGCTTTAAGATTTAGATCTGTAAATACTTAGGAATTGGGTTGTATGCATGTAAATGCCCCTTGTTTATATTTTCCAATGAGGCTTAAAATTGCTGTTTTTACAGGTTATGGACATGTTGGGGCCTAGTCTATGGGATCTCCGGAATAATAACTCGCACACGTCCGTCCATTTTTCAGATTAATTGTCGTTTTTTCTTTTTATTTTTCTCCATTTTTTTAATGCTTAAGTTTTGCATTAATTTTCATCTTCTTTGTGCAGAATGTCTGCTCATATGGTTGCATGTATTGCTGTTGAAGCCATTTCCATACTAGAAAAATTACATTCTAAAGGGTACTTAAAATGCACCCTTGTTAAACTATATTTACAGATTTTGTTAATGGTTTTGTTAACAGCTCCAAATGATTTTCATTGTAAAACACTTGTTGGCAGGTATGTGCATGGGGATGTAAAACCGGAAAATATTTTGATTGGCCCTCCAGGAACTCGTGATGAGAAGAGACTATTTCTTGTTGACCTTGGCTTAGGTATTTCGATAAGTTTTTGGTGTTGCTTCGAGTTATGCGCGTGCTTATAATTTTCATCGCGTAATTATGGATTTGTAAATTGTGGATTCTTTTTCATTGCATGCAAATTTAAATTGTCAGCTACAAAGTGGAAGGATACTATAACTGGTCAGCATGTTCTCTATGACCAACGACCAGATAATTTTCGGTATACTTTAAAAAAAAAAAAATCGTTATTTGCCTTTATAGTTTTTATTAATGACTTGATTTAACATTTATGTCTTCTTAATTTGTATTGGTGTGTTTGTTTGATGATGAAGAGGTACAGTGCGCTATGCTAGTGTTCATGCTCATTTAGGAAGGATTGGAAGTAGAAGAGATGATCTGGAATCTCTGGCCTACACGCTTGTTTTCCTTCTTCGAGGCCGTTTACCTTGGCAGGGTTTTCAGGTTTGCATATAAAATTACATTTAAAAAGCAAATATGCATTTTTGTTACATTTATGACCCTGTGATGGAAGTCCCGGATATGGAGCTCTTTATTCAGCAAATGCTTGGATAATGTTGCTCAAATCCATATGGAACTAACCAACCCACTAGTCGATGTGGAGGAAGCTTTATCCTTTTTTAAGGGGCATTTACATACATGCAACCCAACTACTCTATATTTACATATTTAACACCTGTACATTGCCTTTTACATTCATACCATCCAAAACTTTCACATCGCATCAAAAATACCACCATTTTAACTTTTAAAAGTGAAATACACCTTTTCATGAAGGTAAGGTGGTATGTTGGTATGTAAAATTTGAAGTTTAGATGTTAGACACGTAAATACATGAGAATTGAGTGGTCATTTATGTAAATCTTCCTTTTTTATTCTTTTTCTTGTCTTGACATTCTTTTCCTCATGCATGTTCTCTACATTTTTACAGGGGGAAAACAAAAGTTTTCTTGTATGTAAGAAAAAAATGGCCACAGCTCCTATTGTTTTGTGTTACTTCTGCCCAACGCCCTTCAGATTGTTCCTTGAGCATGTAGTGAATTTAAAGTTTGATGAAGAACCAAATTATGCTAAATACATCTCTCTATTTGATTCCATAATTGGTCCTAATCCGGATATTCAGCCGCTTAATACTGACGGCGCTCAAAAGGTATAAAAAAAAAAACTTGTTTCTCGTGCTAAGGGTGCTCTCTTTTGAACGAATTCGACTTTTATTTTTCGTCTAACTTAGCTTCCTGTCATGTACTCCATTAAATGTGGTAAAGCTTATACACCAAGTTGGTCAAAAGAGAGGTAGGCCGCCGACGGAAGTAGAAGATGAGCAACCAAAGAAGAAAGGGCGAATGGGTGTTCCTGCAACTCAATGGATTAGCGTTTATGATGCTCGTCAACCGATGAAGCAGAGGTTCTTATTTGAATGCTCGTTAATCTGGCTATTATTGCTTAGGGCTTGTTTGGAATCATTTTTATTTTTTATTTTTTATTTTTTATTTTTATTTTAATAATATGTTTGTTTGGTGTATTTTTTGCATGTTTAAAAACAATTAAAAATTTATTTTTAAGTGTTTTTAAAAGCAACTAACCATATTATAACATACCAAACAATTTACATGCAACCCAACTCAATTCTTATCCATGTACATATCTAATACCTAAACTTTAATTTGTATATATATGCCATCTTACCTATGCATGAAAAGGCGTATATTAACTTTTTAAAAATTAGAATGGGGTATTGTTGATGTGATATGAAAGAGTTGGGCGGTATAAATCTAAAAAGTAAAGTTTAGAGGTTAGATATGTAAATACATAACAATCGATTGGTATGTGTGTAAATGCATAAAAATCAAAAGTAATCCCAAATGACTCCTTGGACAAATATATGCTTATTTTGCGTTTTGTTGCAGATATCACCACAGTGTTGCTGATGCGAGAATTGCTCAGCATATTAAGAAAGGACTTGAAGATGGATTATTCATCAGTTGTGTCTCATCCAGCTCAGATTTGTGGGCTCTTATTATGGATGCAGGCACTGGTTTTACTAATCAAATTTACGAACTCTCGCAACACTTTCTGCACAAGGTGACTTCTGTAATTCTTTTTTGTTCCTGTAATATTGTTTTTAAGTCATATTTTACAGTTTAGTCCATATCAATTGGTGTGTTATACCATATGATTCCAAAGGAGTTTTTTGAAATTTTCATTTCTCTTTTGAAGGAATGGATAGTGGAGCAATGGGATAAAAATTATTATATCAGCGCCGTCGCCGGGACGAACAATTGCAAATCCCTCGTGGTGATGTCTAAAGGTAAATTACAGTAAGAATTCGGAAGATTTACATAAATACCACTCAATTCTTATGCACAATTCGGAAGATTTACATAAATACCACTCGATTCTTATGCATTTCCATTTGTAACACCTGAACTTTACTTTTTTTTACATTTATACTGCTCAAATCTTTCGTATCACATCAAAAAATACACCATGTAAATGAAGTACAACTTGTAATGAATAGGTAAGGTGTTATATATGTAAATATGTAAGAATTGAATGGTATGTATGTAAATCTTCATAATTTTTTGTCTTTTAAAGTTGTCACAAAAAAAAACTAAAATGTGATGATGGATGGTCCAGGCACCCAATATTCACAGCAGTCATACAAAGTCAGCGATTCCTTTCCATATAAATGGATAACCAAAAAATGGAAAGAGAATTTCTATGTCACCTCCATGGCAACTGCAGGAGCTAAATGGGCGGTCGTGATGTCTCGAAACGCGGGCTTTTCCGATCAGGTCCTTGTTTTTTTCCTTTTTTACTTTCCCCTCTATAATTCTAAATTGTGAAATTTACATATATACCACACAAATCTTATGTATTTACATGCCTCACACCCAAAGTTTGACTTTTACACCTATCAACATGTTGGTGTTATAAATCTATGCATGAAAATGTGTATTTCGCTTTTGGGAAGATCGTGATTGATGTTAAAAATTTGAGTCATATGCATGTAGATATGAATGTTTAGGTGTTAGATATGTAAATATATTAGAATTGTATGGTACGTATATAAATGCCCCTACTAAATTTGATATTTGCTGAAATCATAAGGCTTTGTTCTATCATATATTAAATTTGATATTTGCTGAAATCATAAGGCTTTGTTTGGATTGACTTTTTGGAAGATTTACGTACATAGCACTGAATTCCTATGTATTTACATATCTTTCGCATTATTTTCAGGTTATTGAGCTGGACTTCTTATATCCGAGCGAGGGCATTCATCGGAGGTGGAATAGCGGCCATCGAATCACCTCCGTCGCGGCGACGCTGGATCAGGTTGCCATTGTTCTCAGCACACCACGAAAGAAAGCTGTAGATGAAACACAGGAGACACTTAGAACCTCTGCTTTTCCTACTCAGCATGTCAAGGTGAGAAGGGACCCCAATTCCTATGTATTTACGTATCTAACCCTTATACCATCCAAATATTTTATATTACATACAAAAATATTACTATTTCAACTTTTCAATAAGTGAAGTACATATACTTTCATGAATGGCCCAGTTGGGTGTGACTGGGAAAATGGCATGTATGTAAAACTTTGAATTTTAGATATTATATATGTAAATACATGGGAATTAAGTGGTATTTATGTAAATCTTCATTTTTTTTTACTATGTTATCAATCTCATATGCATCAAAGTAGTGAATTTTACAGCTGATTACTGAGTTTTATTATTGCTTGGTTGCAGGAGAAGTGGGCGAGGAATCTTTACATTGCATCGGTGTGCTATGGAAGAACTGTTTCATGATTTGTTCTGAAGAATGCTTATAACCTACACCATCAAGATTTTGAATCCCTTTTTTTTTTTTTTTTTGATTTTGTAAAATGCTTATAATTGTGAAAATATCAGATTTATAGGGGTTGCCATTTATAGTGGAATATTTTCTCTTTCCCTTTGCATATAGTGATTTTTTACTTTATTTTTTGTTTTTAATTGTTTTTTTTTTTTTAATTTTTTGACAAAATTGGAATTTTATTGAAGACTTGATTAGGTTATCATATTATCTTTATTTTTATGAACCTCTAGATTTGAGGTATGATTGGCTGCTGGTTTGCTTATGGTAATCCCTAATATCATTATGGGGAAGAACGGCTATATTAAGTAATGAGTATTGATTTCATAAATCTTAATCAAATATGGTTTAAATATTGTTATCTTCTACTAATCATCAATGCTTTAGTCAACTCCATTGTGAAGGTACTGCATATTTTTCCAACATCTGAAATTACTAGAATTGTTTAAAAAAGCTCTAGGTTTGTGAATAATTCATGTTTGATGTTGATTTAAAAAGACAAAAATGCTATTTTGAACACCAGCCTATTTCAAATAAAATTATATGAAAATGGTCAAACCATAGAGAGAAAAGGGGATTGTATTTTGCTTGTGGAAGGAAAATAATCTGCAGGCCAATCTGAATTACAAGAGGTAAAAAAAAAAAAAAAAAGGAAAGAAATCAACGGTTAAATGATTTATACAAAATGAAAATTTCTAATGCGTTCTATTCGATCACTCAATCTGCCCGAAAAAACATACATTCCAAGAGATCATAATTTACACAATATGGAATTACCATCTAAAGACAATAAAACCCAATGGATGGCAATGCGTAGCATATTGGTTGAAAACAAAGTGAAAAATCTTAAGTAAGGTTCAAGCACCCATCCTGCCAGCCAAATAAAAAGACTAGTAACATTTAAACTGCTATATCATCCTAGGGTTCTAGGCACAATAGCATCCTGGCATTAAAAAGCCAAAACATAAAATAAAATTGAACAAAAAAGAAAAAAAAAAAGAAGACGAAGCTATTTTCTGAGGTTAAGTACAAATATTAGAGCATGCTACATAGCATGATCCAGTATGGCAACCTAATCAACCTGAACAGATTAGTTACATCTGCAACATGCAGAAAGAAATCAATGGTTTTCTTTGTCAAGCATGAAGCTCATATGGTGAGAAAACGAAATTGCATTCTACAATAACATCAATGCAAACAATATCACGGCCTGCGGCACAATCGACTAAGGTGAACTCTCTCCTGAAATTAGACAAAAAAACGGCATTAAAAAAGAAGAAAAGACACTTAAAAATGGTTGCAATAATACAAGGTTAGAATAGCAGAGAAATTAATTCAAAAGTGTGTGTTTATTAAGTTTTGCTGTTGGCACGTTAAAGCTTTAGCACGTTCATGTGAATCATGTCTCATTCACTCACAACCGTAAGTTTTAGAGGTTAAATAAGTGAGTGATGAATTTTAGTTAATTGATTTAAAACCTATGCATTCTTGAAGTGTTGAGTAACAAAGTGCAGCCCAATTGACTTAGGCCCCATTGGTTTGGGCTTTTGAAACCAGCTTTTGCTAAAAATGCCATTTTATAGGTGTTTGTTTCGCCCGTTTTCCCGACCGCAGTTCGTGAATAAACAGTTATGCGAATAACCTTGATCCTCTACCACGCTCCATCGCGCCCTAGCCGCTCGAGAAGGTCTGCCCCACTAGCCTTGCCTCACTTCGGCACTTATCGTCTCCGTTTCACCGCAGGTATGATCCTTACAAAAATGCACATACTTGAAAGCAGGAATCTCAAGTCCACTTCTCCTATATTCTTCTACTAAACCATTTCCCTTCTCCTATATCTTTTCGTCGTTATTCTTTTCATATATTCTTCCTGGAAGTCACATTTTTTTTGTTGAAGGGAAAGGCATTATTGTTCTATTTCACCATTGATGTTGAGATGATGGAAAAAATTAGTTTTTTTTTTTTTTTCAAGGAGTTCAGGCATATGCAGAAGGTTTCTCTGCATATTTTGCTTATTTATGGAATAAACACAAGTTAATCTGATTTTTAGGAAGATTTGAACACATACCAATATATTTGGAAGTGTTTACATCTATAACCCAAAAAACTTCCATTGTTTTCAAAGGTGGAGACCTTGCCTATGCTAGAATCGGTTTATATCTTTATTTAAAGGTCGGATGATATTATTTTCCCGTGGTATGAAATATTTGGGTGGTATAATAGTTTTTTGATAAAAGAAAAAAAGGAAAGTTCAGATGTTAGATACGAGAACCGAAGGGAATTGGCTTGCGCACATGTAAATACCCCTTGATTTTTGGATAGATCGGTAGAACAGCTGATGTAAATGTTTCCCTGATCCATTTGTATGGTATTATTGTGAGCATCGCTTTTATTTTAGTTGTATACAAGAGGATTTTGTATATGCAAGCTTCAACAATTGCTATTTTATTTGAAATGAGTTTTGTGGCGAAATGACGTTTAAAATACACAATTCTTTAAATATATATAGCCTCTCTTAAGTGCTTCTGGCAACCAAGAGCCCCTGCATTATCGTTCTACTGCTTTCTTCTAATGAAATATTATTTTTCTCCATGTGTTTACTCTGAACCTGAGATTTAAAAACTCTTCAAGCCCGTGATAAACTACAAAAAGTAGAGATTTTGCTCAACAAGTATTGTTTTGCCTTCACCTTTAAGAGTTCAGTTTGTTAATTGCTAATGCTAACTTGGTCTTTCTTACAAAAATTAATGTGCAAATCAATATTTTGCAGGATTACATAATCAAAATACATAATCAAAATGAGATCTCAAACAATTCGTCAAACTCTAAGGGGACCAAACACCGAGCAGTGTATTGTGATTGCAACCTCCTATATGTTGTGTTCACCACACAGAAATGTGACAATATTGGCCACAAGTTTTCTAGATGTCCCAGAAATCTCACAAATAGAGATTGCAAGTTTTTTCTATCCCCGTTGATGATTTGAAGTATGCAACACTGGAGTGAAAAGATGAAAAGATAGCGACATCTGAAGGCACGGTGAAGAATGACCTTAGAGAGCAGAAATATTATTTGATTTTGTAATCATACCACTGCTTTATTGTTGTTGTTGTTTTTATTTTGGTGATGATGTAATTTTAAGGACAAACTGTGCTGCTTTAGGTGTTTTTTGTTAGGCAAACTTGTCTATATGGATGGAATGTAGTTTATGTTTAACTACTATTTATATGATTATTTTGACAAGAAAAATTTTGGTTAATGTTTTCTTGACTTCTCTTATGGCAATGAGTTCAAAAAATAACATTAAAATTTATCATTGGATTAACTGAACGTGAAACACTATCAAAACTGTGTTTTCTAAACAGTTTAAACCAATTGTGTTTCTATACGGAGGGCATTATAGTTATTTTGTCTACAAACGCTTCTAGAATTGTGCTTTTCAAACAGATCAACTACTTCTGAAACACCAACTTCTGAACAGCAGTTTCTCAAATCAGCTTTTCTACAGCTGCAAACGAAACAAGCGCACCCTTAGTGGTTAAGCGTTCCTATTTGCAGCTAAAAAATCTTGAGTTCAAGGCTTTAGCATAAACAAGTGTGAGTATGAGCTAAAAAAATAGGCATTTACATACATAGCACAGATTTCTTATGTATTTACACATTATAAACCTAAACTTTCATATTTACATACATACAGAGATAGCACTTTTACCATAATTTTTTAAAGTGAAATACATCTTTTGATGCATAGATTTAAAGCACAAAATCCAATATATGTAAATATAAAAGTTTAGACGTGAGACATGTAAATAAATAAGAATTGTGTGCTACATATGTAAATTTCCCTAAAAAATTAATCTCCTTTATTTCCCAAGTTGCATGCATTGGTTCAGTCAATCACAACAACATCTTTAAGAGGTTTAAGCTTTGGATGCGATAGATCAAAATCTACCTCCTGTGTTTGAAAGGTAGGATGATTTAGAAGATTAATATGTTGAGCTTTCTTTTTCTAGATTTTATTTGTTGCTTATTTCCACTTTCCTTGGAAATGAGAAATCGCAGGGATTTGAAGTGCCTAGTTGAACTAACGAAATGGCAGACAGATTGCACCTGGAGGATAAGAAAATAACAAATAAACCCAATGGACTCACTACCCTATGAATGCTGCCATAAGACTAAGCCCTCTCTAAGGCCATATCTCAATTCAATTTTATTATTACAACTTTCAACTAAATTAAGGTCAAGGTTTTAATATTTATCCCATATCTAAATATTGTGCTTGCACAATCATGTCTTACTGCAATGCTTGACTAGCATGATTTTATACTTTCATTGGTGAAAATATAAAGATATATAACATTTAAGTCTGGCTAATAGCACGGAGGAGAAGCCAGCTAGAATCATTTCACCAAAACTTGGAGGTATGCAGGAATAAGTTTCTGAGTTACTAACAAAGCTTAAAACTGCTTACCTCAGTCTGATCAGGATCATATCGTACCAAGAAGATGCACCTGCAGCCCCTTATATCATGCATTTTTCGCTCTACTTGCACAACATGAGCATCGAAGTACTTGGCAGCTTCATCTTTCTCCTAAATAAAAGAAAAGGAGGAAGATAAACACCATGGATATGAAACATTGGTGACGGCGGTTCATTTAGTTGAGGCTGTAGTATTACATACTCGGAAACAGAGAACAATATCTCCTTCTTTAACCTTCCAGCATTCAGAAGACTCCATTGGTATTGAGCGCTCACGTACAGACTTCCTGACATTAACCCACTCATCTTCCTCGGGACCAAACCCGTTGAATCTCACACGAACTTCCTAGAGTGGAACAAACTCAATATGCCATAAAGAATTGTACTGTAAAGAACTGTTGATCTGATAAAAAAAAAGAGGCATTTACTTACATACCACCCAATCGCTATGTATTTAAATATCTAACACTTACAATTTACATGTTTACTTATAACACCCAACTCTTTCATATCATATAAAACATACCACTATTTTGACTATTAAATAGTGAAATACGCCTTTCCATGCTAGATAAGGTGGAGTATATGTAAAAAATAAAGTTTAGGTGTTAGATATGTAAATACATAAGAATTGAGTGGTAAATTTTCCAAAAAAATTGTCATGAGAACCAAATGAGAAGCAAGCTTTTCTAGATTCATGCTTGAGATTCTCTGAAATTTCAGAACATTGAATCATTAGTTATACTTCTTTTCTTGGGAAAATATTCCGACCTACGCTGTCAATAAGTGACAGGAAGAGACAAAATCATGAAAACTGGAGGGAAGTTTAACTCTATAAATGGGTAAAATTTACATTTTTTTCCAAAGACACTGACAGTGGCTAAATGTCATACTAAGACTACAGAAAAAAATGGACTTGCTCTAAAAAACGGGTAAAACACTTAATTTGTACAAACATGAGGCTAACAATTGTTTTGAGGTTCAATTTAAAACGGATTAATTTTTTTAATTCAGATAAAGTTAATTGGCACACAGCAAAAAATTACCTATTGTTAGCTCAAAGCAAGCGATGAGATGCAACATGAAGTAAGACGAGTTTTATGATTTTACTGTATCATCTTCAACACCTTTTAATTATTCTTTTTCCCCTTTTCAAATTCTCAGAAGCTAATCATTCTTTTTCTTTCATCAAATAAGGCTGCTTTTCGCGCTTGTCCATAGGCTTCTTCTCTTCTAGTAAGTTCAGACTGCTGCTTATATTTCGTTGGCATGCTTTATAAAATTGCTAATAAAATTATATTATGTTAAATTATTTTTTATTATTTATTTTATTTATTTGACTCATGCACATGTATCGCATTTTATTAAATTTATAAACCCTTATTCTTGCCTTTTGAGAAAAATTATATATCAGGAAAGATATGTTATTTGCCTATTAATTAGCTATGAAAAAAATAAGTTGTAAATGCTAATCATTATGTTGAATGTTCTTACCATAGTATCTTATTGGTTAATGTTCTAGATATTGAATTTATTTTCACAAAAATGAACATATCAATATTATAGTTACTTTTCTTTTTCTTTTTTTTTTTGTAAGATGGTGGTAAGATGGTGTCTCACTTAAAAAATAACTTAAAAAAAAAAACAAAAAAGTAACAAAGCTCTCTCCTTCCAACACAAGCTTATCTAGTTGCATGTAAAATGTCATAAAAGAAGTTCGAAAAAGACCATTACAAGTTTTGGTTAACATGAGGAAATGAGAAGGGTTGATGGTTTAATAATACAATCAAAAGCCACTCAAACATAAAAGATCACGTGGAGATAAAGTCAACTTTTAGATCAATTGATCCAAATTAGAATTTTGGCTTAGTTGAATCTTCGAACCAATTGAGGTAGGGTCTAACTCAAATCGAGCCAACTAATAAATAACAAATTTAAAATTAAATATTTCAGACACAACTAAATTGAATTCAAACATGATCAAGCAGAGTTAGTTGGAGTCAAAAGCCGACGACGGACGCAGGCACGCACGACGGACGAACGCACGCACGCACGGTAATCCCCCCATGATCTAGGGGTTAGCTTAGATTGTGCTATATTCTCTGAAGCAGCATGGTAAATCAGTAGTTCATGATCAAAACTTCACCACACAAGCATAACTTAGTTCATCCTTTAATCACTCAAGTTATCCTAAAACAATTTTTCAGAATATGTGAACAGATCTTACAAGAATGAAAGAATTTGTAACGGAATAGAGTCTTCAAATACAAGTTAAAGCAAGAATTATAAATAAATAGTTGATCTTTCTAAAGCAAAGGAGCAACCATTTAAGATACATCAAACTTGTTAAATTATAAAAAGCATGTCATTACCAAACTAAAAATTGGCTTTGAAACAAAGGAGAAAATTTTGAGAAATGGTTTTAAATTGCTTTAAGTCAAATCCTAAACATAGAGCTTAATCAAGAATCGACAAAAAATTTAAAAGACGTCAAACAAACTCGTAAGTGCGGGTCTTACAATAAACACTCCAAAGAACAAAGAAAGATAAAAACTACACTCGAACAGCCATGCAAATACAAATATAATCATCAACTTTCAAATTGAGACCACAAATTGTAATATGGCAAATTTAACTTAACCAATAAGCATGTTGATACATCTAATCCAGACAATATAATTCATAATGCACACATCAAATTCAAACAAAAAAGAGTTAGCTAGCATCATTGGGTCCACATCACTTTATAAACACTACAAAAAATATCAATATATCATAGAATTTGTCGATTTCAAAGTCCTAACAGACAAGTTAGGAACGTCTACTACTTATTTAATTGAACTAATATAATCCCATATACTGCTGCTAATGATCTCAAAGCATCAAACAGTTCACAACAACAAACAAGTTAGAAACATCTACTACTTAATCAATTGAACAACAATAATCCCATATACTGCTGCTAATGATCATAAAGCATCAAATAGTTCACAACAACAATATTCTCAATCATTCCCGTAATTTCACGCCCAGTAAAGATACCAGAGAAACAAAAAGAAAATTTGATTACATATGGTATAAGATATTAATGGGATATCATGTCAAAAATAAAACTTAGCCATTTAGATCTGTCCATAAATCTTTCACTCCAAAAGATATGCCTCTGTTATCTAGTAATCATTTTAACACATTAACACGCCGATGCCAAAATAAGCCAAAATATTACTGCATGGACACAAGCATTAATTGAATCAACTAATCTAATTTTTGGGGTGAACCAAGTTGATAGTCCTTTGACTGGTAATTTTCAATAGACTGGGAATCTTTCAATATGTAATTTTAACATAGATGTTAATCTTTCTTCCTTAAGCAAATCAATATGCGGCCCTATTGATTTCTTATCTTGAGATAGTTTCAGGAGATGGAAAACACTCTAAATTATATGTTAAAAGCTAAATTTGAAGTTATTTCAAGTGGTTTTGGTATTCACAGAGAAAGTGGTAAATCCTCTAGGAAGCCTTCTAATGACGTGAGGGCAGGAAGCCCATGTCGCTTGTTCCTATTGTTAATGCTATGATCATTTTTCTCACTATAAATCCTCTAAAGTAGTTTGATTGATAAATCCATATTGCTACGGATGGGATAGATTAGATGATGGTTGTGAATCCTTAGTTTGAAAATAAGATAGTCCATTGGCTATAAAGGAGCCTCCAATGCGTAGATTAATTCTGACTATAAAGGTTTTGGCATTCACAAAGGCGGTGGTAAATCCTCTATGAAGCCTTCTAATGACGAGAGGGCAGAAAGCCCGTGTCTTTTGTTCCTATTGTTAATGCTATGATCACTTTTCTCACTATAAATCCTCTGAAGCAATTTGATTGATAATTCCATATTGCTGCAGATGGGACAGATTAGATGATTCTTGTGAATCCTTTGTTTGAAAATAGGATAGTCCATTGGCAATAAAGGGGCCTCCAATTCGTAGAATAATTCTGACAATAAAAATAATCATGAAATCTTTGTTTATTATAGTAACTATAGAAAAAATAATAAACCCTATATTAAGGAACCAAAATTGATGAGATCAACCCCAGAACACTAATGGCATGCTCCTTTTTTTGGCCTCTAGTTTAGTCCTTCTCTATCTACATGTTGCAAACTCTAGATTGCTGTTCCGAATTAGCAAGTGTTGATATATTTTTCTGCTTATGTGTTGCATCTCCTTGTCTATATCATTCAATATCACGAATAGCAGCTAACTGTACTTCATCTATGTATATTAGAAAGAGTACTAGAGTAGTAAAAGAGAGACGAAATAAGTGTAGCAGCAAAACAACAAATGTTTAATTTCATGCAGATTCATTAAATCCATTCCAATGAACAATACAATGCAAAAAAAAATTACTTTCTTTTTGTAACTTGATTGAAGTAAATCTACCTAGGAGTTCTGTTCATAACCAAGGAGAACAATACGACATATAATGAGAACCATTGAAAGAGAGGAAAAAAAATGAAATTCAGTTTTAAATTTTTCTTAAGAATTATAATTTTGGCAAAATTGAGTTGCTAGCTAGAGATAATTTCATAGCTAAATATAAGCTTCAATGAGAGCATTAATCATTGGTCAGATCACGCGGTGACTCCAAAGAACATCACGTCATGGTAAATCTCCAACATGTTGATTAGCATAAAGCATAGTGTATCACAAAGACAGCAGAAGGGGTGCAAAGAGAACAAAAACGTAGAAGAACAGAGGAAATGAAGGAATCAATGCTTTCAAAGGCCACTAGTAAAGCTCGTTAAATAGCCATAGCTCTTTACTCTTTTTACCAACTATTAGTATCGGCCATAATTAAGTGGATCTGTACGGCTTAGTTTTGCTGATAGCATGGACATTTCCACTTGCCATAGAAAGTTAACTTGACAAATAGAAAATCATATAACTTTTTTAGAAATAATTACCCAAATTCAATGATACCTGAGTTAACTCAAAGCACGATAGAAATGCAAATCTTATTGTTGAAATTCAATAGGTTACGACAACTCTTCAAAAACAGAAAATAAACGATACAATATAAAAGTCACCCTATGGTGAAGATGACAGTGCTGGGTGGTGGCTGGACGGGTAGAGGGGTTGGCTGGAGGCTGTTGGCTCAGGAGAAGGGACTGGAAGGGTTTGGCAGCAGTACTGGAAGGAATGAGGTTATGGCAGCAGTTGGGGTTGCTGCAGCGAGTTGCAGCAACAACAGCAAGGTGGAGAGGGGGATTGCAGCAGGCTTTGGAGGGATGCGGGCAGAAGGGATTGCGGTAAGGTAGTGGTGCAGGCAGGGGAGTTGTGGCTGGACAGAGTGATGGATGTACGGATTGAGGTGAAAGGTTTGGTGGGATTGTTGGAAGGCTGGAGCTAGGAATGGCTGCAGGTGGATTTATGGAATGGATCCACAGTGACAGCAAGAAGGGTAGGGGTGGCTTACGGCAGTAGGAGGAAGGGGAGTAGAATGGCTGGCAGCAAGAAATAGGGAGGGGGAAAGGTAGGGTAGCTGACAGTTGGCAGCAGGGAGGAGGCGTAAGTGCAGGGGCAGCGAGCTAGAGAGGGGATTGCATGGTGAATTAGGTCGAAGTAGTCACCACCTCGGAGCAAGATACTGCTGAAGCACCACTTGTCCTCGGATACAACCTAACAAGGGAAAGCACTCAGAGCAGGAACCTCAAATCAGAATCAACCAAAAAATAAACCCCGGGACAGCAACACACATATTTATAATAGATATATAGTGTCAAAAAAACAAGAGGAGGGATGGTGGAATTTCAACACAATAAAAAAGGGTGAGTGGGGCCGGTTCAGCTACAAGCCCCCGCGTCAGTATCCCAAGGATGGAGAGAGCTTTAACCTCATTCGTCGAAGCTTTTTATCTCATCTTAGCAGTCAGGTTGATTATGTTGTAAGCTCCCAATAAGTCAAATATGTAGGCGGTGTCGTTCCATAGAACATCTTGATAGAATAGGTATTCGTCCTCTTTTGGCACAATCTAAGTTGGAGGCACACCACGACGTATGTTCTCCCAAGTCAAATTCTGAACAAATAAATATATAATATGCTTCTCCCACTCTTTGTACTCGGTTGGATATGTCTAGTAAGCAAGGATGTCAGGGGGGGTCAACTCTAGAACGACATCTCTAGAGGTTGGGCCACCTTGACGCGTAATCACTCGTAAGAGGCATTTTCTTCTTCTCAGGAAGGCCATGCATCCCATGTTAGAATATATTTTTCTGCCAAAGATCCTAGGGTGATTCTCACCACTGTGATTCATCCATCATGTTTAATCCTCTATCGGGATGTACACCATTGAACCGATTCTAATCCTCAAATGACTCACGATTATCTTCTGGAAGTAACTAAAAATCTTCTCATCTCAGCAAGTTGGACCTCCTCCCGTAAGGGCAACCTCAGGAGGCGGGCTATATATATCTAATATGTCTGAAATCTTTTTATCTGAAATTGACATGTGTCTAGTAACGGCTTCTCAAGCTCATGGTCTTTTTGGACAACCAAAGTCAGTCCTATCGATGTTCCTCTCTGTCAAATGATATCTCGAGTCATCAAAATCTAATACTCTGCAAGAACGCCCCTTCATCAATGCCACTACCTTCTAGAACAGTTATTGTTACCTCAACCGGAATCTCTCTTGAGGTCAACTGGAATCGATAATGTCTCTTCCTCATTGGTTGTAAGTTGAGAATTGTCTCTGAAGTCTTCATTTTCTCCCGGATCAACTGTGTCATTGCCCAAATTTTCAACAATACCCTGCTCAGTGAAACAGATCACTCCCCCGGTTGTGCAGTCTAATTCAACATGCTCAAATCTGTGTCACTTGTAACACTTCCTAGCTATGATACATTTATGGGATGCGGATTGGTTTCACATGTTCTCCGCTCTTAATTAATCTTTTTCTCTGAAGGAGTCGTCTTGGGTGTTCTCCTGAGTGTACTCTGGTTGTAAGATTTTGAGGTTAAACTATGTCTGTAAGATTAAGTTGACACTCGGTGATGTGGCTTCTCCCCTTCAGAAGCTAGGGACAAAAGTTTATGTCTGTAGTAAACTGATAGGAACTGGCACTATCTCCAGCTTCATCATTAGATTCTCTCGTTCTCCCCTTCGACTCTTCGAATCACAGTCGATGGTAAACTCTCATTGGATTTCATCCTCAATGTTCGCAAGCAACTGATAAAGTTGGTGAATCTCTCGGTGTATCTCCTCCGAGATAAGCTCGGCCATGTATCTCTTTAGTGGCATGTCTAGAGTTTAGGATTAGGAGATGAAAGAGGGTAAAATAATTCATTTAAGGATGCTTTTGAAAGTTAGCAAGGGGAAATTAGGGTTAGGGATATGTGGTAGTGGAAAGAGTATTTGACGGTATGAAAGAAAATTTATGGTTTATGGCAGAGGCTAGGAAACCCTAGAATAAGACTAAAGCTAGGCTAGCTCTGATACCAAATGATACCAAAGTTAACCCAAACAACCATAGAAATGCAAATCTTAATATCTTATTATTGAAATTCAATAGTTAAAATGAGGACTCTTCAAAAACAGGAAATAAACGAAAACATAAAGGACACCTAGGGTGAGAATGACGATGTTGGGTGACGCCTGGAAAGCGGGCAGAGGGGGTTGCGTGGGGGATTAGGTTGAGGAAATCGCCATCTCGGAGCAGAATACAGTCGAAGCACCACCTGTCCTCGGATACAGTCCTAACAAGGGAAAACGCCAGGAGAAAGAAACCTGAAATTAGAATCAACCAAAAACTAAACCCTAGGATAGCAACACCCATACATATGATAGACATATAGGCGGGAAAACGGAAAAGGGGAGAGGAAGAGAGGGAGGGAGGGGGTGTTGGTGGGATTTCCAGCCTAATGGAAAAGGGGAGGAGGAGGCCGGTCCAGCCGCCTACTATACCCAAAGCCTTCTTCCTGCTAAACCGTTAGGTTGTTGAACTGGTAGGGTCAGTTTAGTCAAAATCCCCCGCATCATTCAACTCTCAAAAGGAGATTCATTTCTCCCACTTATGAACCAAACATGCCCTCAGCTGATTTTGGGCCTTCGCAATTTAACAACATAGCCTAAGGGTCCGTTTGGGGCCGTGTTTTTTGAGCGGCGCGGCCACAAACCACGAATCTGCGCACGAATTTGATATTTGGTTTTGACATTTGCGGCCTCTGGCAGCTAAAAAAGACGGAACGCAAGCCGCGAGATTAACCCCACGACCCCACGTTATGGAGAGGCTTTTACCTCCTTTGCCCCGTCTCGCAATCTCTTCTGACCTGCATCTCGTGAAGCCGCCTGCTGATCTCGATCATCTCGTGAAGCCGATCGATCTTCTTGAAGCTGAATATCTCCATCATCGAGATGAAGAACACCTCATCGCTAGATCCCATGCCGGTGCAGGGAAGCTCTGCAACATGGTCGTCAGCTCCCACGAGCCAGAGTTGGGAAGGAAGGTGACAATTCGATCATGGCTTCTACAGACCTGTGACTCCCATCTTTCTTCTCCTCCGCTCCACTACGCTCCCCTCCGTCCCTACCTGAAAAAACCGAGGGTAACTCTCCGACAGAAGCTTTAGGTTGGAAGTAAGCTTTTATTCTATAGAAATTTTAACCCTTTCTAGTTATTCTTATTATCGTAAATTCAGATTTTGATTTAACTGATGTGGACGAAGTGATTGATCAGCTTCTCAAAACAGATTACTCATGTGATATTGCCCTCCCTCGCTTCCAGAAAAGGTGAATTTCCTCCCTGAAAGCAGGACATTTGTTTATTTTTCAACTTGCATGCTCGACTAATGCAATTTATTGTATTAACAATTGAAAGAATCTATTTACTTGTTATATACTTTGAACAATAAATTTAACTTTTTATATATGTCATATTTCTTATATTTATAACCTAAAAATCATATTTATTACTATTCTATAAATTTTTTTTTTTTTAAAACACCAAGTTGTTTCAATCATATCAGAATAAATGATTAAAGTTTATGTGTAAGCTTTTATTATGAAAACATTTGCTCTTATTAATGTCTTTTCTGTGTGAACCTTGTGCGATCCAGTGCCAGAAATAAATACCATGGAGATGCAAAATGAGTGCTTAATGATCATGTTCAAATATGAAGGTATTGGACACAGGTTAAAAGTTAATCTAGAAGAATATATGAAGGCGACAAACAAAAAATATAAAAATGCAAAAAATATTTTATACTTAATGTTGCTGCATCTTTCCATTTCATTTCTTAAAGTTCATGACCCAATTGCATACCCCTTTTTTTTTAATATGTTTCGTTGGAGTTGTTGTTGATACGACAACTTAATTGTTAATTTACAAAATTTGAACTTCATTGAAACAATTTTTTAAAAATTATCAGATCTGTGTAATTTTGTATTGTTTTTAAGTGAATTTTTGCCTTAAAATATTAAATTTATAGCTATCATGGTTCTGTCAAGCACAACATTACAATACAGAAGCTGAATAGTCATTTTTTTAGAAACAGCTGCTCCACAGCTGTTTTCACACAGCTACCCCAAACAGAGAGCTACTTCCCCACAGCAGCTTCTTGGGGCAGCGCAGTTGCAGCTGCGCCAAACAAACCCTAAATAATAATGGATTAGAGAACGGGAGCTATAGTAGCATGTGATTTGACCCAAAATTTTATTTAAAATTGCAAGAAAAACAAAAGTCATATCATTAAATGAATTTTTACTTATAAGGTTCACAGAAAGAATTTGACAAAGAATCTTACAACTTCTCCAGAACTGAGAACCCTATGAGCAAGAAAGGTGGAGACATCATACCTGCAAGGAAAATATTTAATATTGCTGTTGAGAAATAACAAATGTTGCCTTGGTATTCTAATCTATATATGTTTGATGTGCAGAAGGCTGCATACAAATTAAACTCAAAAATGTTGTAAATTCTTTAAATTAATTTTGTTGATAACATGTGCTGAGAAAGTTAAACATAATTTAAGAACTGAAAATCAAACACCAAAAACTGACTAAAACAAAATCACTAGATTACAAAAAAGACCCTTCAAATGTGAAACAAAAAAAAATTGGGCCTGTTTCCAAATATCAACTTTGAGATGATATGAAGGTATTAACAAACACAAAACATCTAAATTTAAGAAACACATCAGCATCAAATACGACAGGATATGAAAAGGATTGTGTATGTATATTCAGGGCATAAACATCAAATTATAAAAAGTGTTGACACATGGAGAACTACAAGTATGTACCTTTGTTATGTATGGACAACTCTGATCAGTAATTATGTAATCCCTGTTAGTTAAATTTCTAATGATGTATCGTATGAGAAAACAAAGCATAAAAGAAACAAATATAAACTAAGATTTGTTTATTTGGGCATTTCATCAATTTAATTAACCAACTTATTTCAACAAATCCATGGTTAGTATGACACCATACATTTACCTTCTACATCATGTCTATTAAACACAGCTTCAAAAATCAATATTTTTTTATAATTTTATCTCGCGGATGAGTTATTTTGTTTGGCCTTACTCTCGTGATTTTCTACAACATCTCTGATCTTCTGCAAGTACATTATAAAGATAAAAACTTGTTATTTAGACTTTATTACGTAAGATTTTTTCACTCTTCAATTTCCAAAGACTGAACAAAATCAGCAAGAACATCTATCAACATGCAGCATATACAGAATCAGCATAAGCATGCTTTTGAAGCGTTTAGACAAAAATAATAGGGTTCAAGTCATTTTTTTAGCCTAACTTCTAAATAAAATAAAATCGCAGCTAGCATAAGGCTCCCCTAAATTTAGCTTAATTTGTTGATTAAACTCGTAAGAACACTAATTAAAAATTTTCAAACAACTAATTGATGACAATTATAGTGCCCTCACTTACCAAAGTGAATATCTGATTTGTGTTTGCTGTGGTAACCGATGGCAATGGCAGTGCAAACAATCATCGCTAGGACCAGGGGGTGAAGTTACAATTATCCTCATTCCATGCTTAATGCAAGCAAAATTGGAGAAAAGAAGATGAGGATTCGCTCTACCAAAGTTAAGCCATCATGTCCTACCATTGTGCAATGCCACACAAGAAGGTGAATGAACATCAGCCAGTGACATGAAGTGTGTTAAAATATTTAGATTTCTACCTAATGGAGTATGTAGAAGATCAAAAGCAGTGTTATAGTTTGAAACAGCAAGGGCAACGTATAGAAGTGCGCTACAAGGATTTGACGTCAAGCAATCACTTTGGGAGTAAATTTGGGAGTAAATCGGGCGTTCAAACTCTAATGAAGTATGCATCAAGCTTTAGTAGAACTGTAAATGAACTTCCAATCAATAATCTTAGTCAAACTATTATCATAGCAATGATCGTAGAGTATAAGAATCAAAGAAATAAAAAGGTACCAAAACCATCCGAGGAATGATTCAACTTCTCAAAGAGGGGAAAAAAAAGAATAATATTCCAGAACCTGCTTACACCTCCAAGCCAAATGCTGCATTAAAATTATAATATCGTCGCTAAATACAATACCATATTAGAGAAAAATGTTAGAAGATGTGCCCTGAAATCTTCCCTTAAAAGTAGGACAAGAAAGAAAAATGATACAATTCGGCATAAAAACCCGCACAATTTTCTACAAAAATTCCAACAAACGTATTTTATTTCACGAACACCGAATCAAAGCTATACAACATCAATACATAAAGGATAAACACCTATAATTCGTGAGGTAGGCAATCTCCCCCATTTCATACAATTCAAGAGGTATGAAATCTCTTACAAACCCTAAACTCTAAGACTCTAAGACATTCTCAGACATAGCCTAACCCTAAGTTTTTAAGCCCTAATTATACCCAACAATAATAATAATAAAAGACCAATTCGCCCTCAGGCTAATAAAAAACAAAATTGCCCTTATGTTGAGACATAACAATACTCCCCTTCCAAAAAGACATTGTCCTCGATGTGGGAAAAAGGTGTTTCTCCTTCTCCACCAAAATCGTCTCTATCATCATCTCCTGTCTTCTTGTCACACACTATGAGAAATTGTATTGTTCTATCCTTGCAAGGTGTCCTGAGGCACACTTCTAATCACGCAAAAAACATAAACCACTGGCTCACTTCTGAATCTCTATCTCTATAAGTCGTTTGAAGTTGACTACTAGACGGGCCCCCATATTCTTCTCCTTCGATGCTTTCCCCAGAAAAGGGTCCTCGGTGCCAAAGTTGTCAAGCTACTCTTGTAGAATTCTACCACAATATTGCTTCTGTTGGCCTTATCTATCTAGTTATTGTCCTCTACCATTTGGGCTAACGTCATTGTTTCCCTCAATTCCCATGATCTTAATAGTTGGAGTGAAGCCTGTATGTCGAGCATTAGGCCATTCATGAAATTCCCCTCCAATCCTGTTTCAGAAACACCCTAGTATATCAACAATAGCTTGAATCTCTCCATATTTCATGGCAATCCCCTCCTGAGTCAAGACATAGAATTGCTCGTGTAGGTCTCCTTCTTAAATTGCTCGTGTAAGTCTACTTCTCGAACTGCTCGAAAATGTTTCAACAAAGCAATCATTAAATTCCTGCCACAATCTGATCGGGGCCACAATCGGATCGGGTATCTACCACAATGTTGCTTTTGTTGGCCTTATCTATCTAGTTATTGTCCTCTACCATTTGGGCTAACGTCATCGTTTCCCTCAATTCCCATGATCTTAATAGTTGGAGTGAAGCCTGTATGTCGAGCATTAGGCCATTCATGAAATTCCCCTCCAATCCTGTTTCAGAAACACCCTAGTATATCAACAATAGCTTGAATCTCTCCATGTTTCATGGCAATCCCCTCCTGAGTCAAGACATAGAATTGCTCGTGTAGGTCTCCTTCTTAAATTGCTCGTGTAAGTCTACTTCTCGAACTGCTCGAAAATGTTTCAACAAAGCAATCATTAAATTCCTCCCACAATCGGATCGGGTATCTAGCATCCCTCCACTGAAGCGATACTAGAGTTTTCCTCTTCAAACATAATTCTACCGCTATGAGCTTCTCCTCACCATTTAGCCCATTTACTATGAAATATAGCTCCACCCAGTACACCCACTCATGTGCATCTTCCCTTTCGAAAATTGACATCTTCAACTTCTTTGCCCTAGCATCTTCACCCAACTTTCTCTTCATCTGGTGTTTCCCCCATGTATCGAGGGTAAAGCTCTCTCAATAGATCATAGTCATACTCCAACCCGACTTCTCTCATTCATTCTTCATACTCCTTTATACCCCTTGCATGACTCCTTAATATGTTTCAACCCAACTACCTCCATCATAAATCTCTAATTCACCACCATCAAAGTCCTAGGATTAGTTCTTGATGTTAGATGTTTTCCTCCTTATATTCCTCAAGTTCTATCTCTCTCTTTCAATTTGACCACAGAATCTATGGTTAACCCTTAGGGTTTACAAATTAAGCTATCGACGAGTCTTGGATTGCATCTCAATAAGCTTTCTTATCATCTCCTCCAAGCTCCCAAATCGGCTTTCCATGGAAGAAAACCTATCGTCTATGGAGGAAAACCTTTCTTCTATAGTGGAAAAACTTTCCTCCATCCTGAATTTAAATTGGCTCAACTATTCCTCCAATAACTTCACCAAATCATCTAATAGTTTTATCGCCATCATTACCATGCAAGTTTTCAATCACAAAAGACGGAAACACCTATAACCTTAAATGTCATCGATGGTTTCGAGATAGTTTGAATCGCATCTGTGCAATGAGTCGGTCCAATTTGATTTGATTGTGCGCCAGAATTGGAACAGGAGAAAGATGAAAGTTTAGGGTCTTTGTATGTCGCGAAAAATGGAAATCACCAACCTTCATACATCGCATGGTTGCCTTCTTAGCAAGCTCTAATCGGGATTGTATTGCGGCCACGGAGCATGAGGAGAAAGATTGGTGTTTCAGGACTTACGGAGCATGAGGAGAAAGATTGGCGTTTCAGGCCTTTGTAAGTCATGATCCTGTCGTTGTCGTCTTCGCAAGCTCTAATCATACTATATCGCGAAGGGAAGTTTTGGGTCTCAGTAAATCATGATCCCATCGTTTCTTTCTCTGTCAGCTATCTTTGCTGCGAGGGAGGCAAAAGATAGGAGATTCAAGTTTCTGCAGCAAGTCTGTTATCGCTTACTAAAATTGATCGCGACTCTATCGCACAGACGGATGCGGAAGGAGAAAGATGAGAGATTTGGGTCTCTATCGTGGGCCTGATCGGTAGGTTGGAAGCAGAATTATTTTCAGGCCGCGGTTCTTTCGTCTTCCTGGATCAAAACGCTCTGATAATACTTTGATATAACTTGTCATAGAAATTGACATGATTTTCCACAAATTAAGGCAAACACATTTTATTTCACGAACATCAAATCAAAGCAATACAACACGAATACATAAAGAATAAACACCTACAATTTGAGAGAAAGTCGATCTCTCCCAATTCCTTCAATTAGAGAGGTAGGAAATCTCTCCCAAACTCTAACCCTAAGACTCAAGACAACAATTATCATGCATAACTCTAACCCTAAGCTATTAAGCCCTAGTTATACCCAAAAATAATAATAATAATAATAAAAGAATATTTTGCCCTTGGCCTCATAAAAGACAAAATTTTCCTATGTCCATGAAAAATGATTGATGTTGTTGCGGGCAACATTATGCTTAGTCCCATTGAGAATAACCCCCATCCACATCTTCTATGGCTCCATCAAAGGATAATGGAGTGATAGTCCTCTAAGTTGGAGACACAGAAGGAATTGTTCACTCTGAGGATCTAGTTAAGCAAGGGGTGAACGACATCATTGGCACTAACAACTAGAAGGATTGCATTTCCACCACTTTGGTGAAGTAGATATTGGACACCATGCTTTAAGAAATTGCATATGGTTTGTTCCAACATTAGCATTAATCATCTATGTTGAGTAAAGTTTGTAATCATCAAAGATTACATCAACAAGAAGATATGAGAAGTAGTAGCATTTGTCTAGTTATCTTTGGTTATTTCATAACGAGATGGCAGGTATGCAGCGTTGAATCATCATTTCTATCAATGTTAGATGCCTAAAAAAGGAAAGCACCCGCTGAATAAGGAATATGGTGTACGAGCAATGAATGGCATGGCTAAAGGATAGGCATGTAACATTATCAAACTACGCAATGAAATTTTACTTTTGCATATCAAGCAAATTGTGAAGGAAAAAGGTAGCATTTATATTTCATCACTGAGCAAAGATGGATATCTAGATTTGCAACAACTATTTAAGAACATAGTTCTTTCGGAAGGTACAATGGTTCCCACCCAAAGTGACACATTAAGAATAGCACGATCATAAAGCAAATTAAAAAGAAGTTGGAGAATCAAGTTATTCAACCTAGCATTTCATCTTGTGTGTCACCCATTATAATGGCCCCAGAGAGTAAAAAACTTGGAGACCAGGTGCAACTATAAAGCTATAAAAAATATCAATCAAGAACCTGATGCCGGAGGAATACCGAAAACAAACAAACACGATTATTATTGCAGGAATTTAGAAAGAAACACAAGGGTTCATAAACTGAAAATAAAATGATGTAAGGGGTTGAGCTCCAGCTGGACAGCAGGTGTGGGGGGTTGGTTTGAGAGGTTATGGCAGCACGTAAGTGGAGGGTAGAGAAGTTGAGGCAACGGGAAGGTGCGCGAGGGCTTGGCAGCAGCAGGGTGGGTGCAGGATGATCTAGGCGACAACATATCAGGCGTAGGCTGGACTTGGCGACTTCAAGGAATGTAATGGAAGGTTGGGTGGCCACAATGGAGGAAATAGGAAGGCAGAGCTACAATAGGTGAGATGTCGGAGGGTTAGACGGCCACAGGAGAGGGAGCAGGAAGGTAGGGTGGCAACGGGTGAGGTTAGACGGCCACAGGAGAGAGAGCATTAAGGCAGGGGGACACAAGGGAAAAAGCAAGGCGGCTGGGTGATCGCACATGAAGGCGCGGGAAGCAGGTTGACAGCAAGAAAGAAAGAATAAAGTGCGAGATTGATGAGATAAACACTTCTAATAACTGAATTTTAAAACCCTAACACAGTACATATATATGAAAGGAGTAAAAATGAATGAATAATAATAGGAAATAAAGCAAAAGAAAGTAAAACGAGGCTATTTCGGTGCCTTCCCCGACATATTTTTATATGGTACTGTAGCAACTGCAGTACCATATCCGCAGTAAGCTCCTGAATCACTCTGGTACCAAGAAAAAGCTAAATGGACACCAAGGAATCTAGGCAAGTAGCTTTCCAATATCTAGAGCATATTTAAGATTCTTCTAAACAAGGGGTCTTGATTAGGCAACTAAATCTAATAGGTGATCAATCAGATTATCGATGATCACAAATAGGATATCATATCATGCATAAATTAAAGAGAATGTTCATTGAATATTAATAGTTAGGTTTCTTAATGAAATTTATTAATGGTGATAATTCTCATATTGCATTTTTAGATAAAAATGAGTGCCATCAAAAGTTCATTGGCATGATCAAATTATTAAACGGGTATCATATGAGGGTATTGAGACCCTAAAAGCTAAATTGTTGGATCCAAATTCAAGCTACGACAAAATATGGATAGATTTGAAATCTAAAATTTGTTAGATTGAGTGTGTGTGTTTTTTTTTTTCTGTTGTAAACAGGGATTAGGATAATTGGCATTAGAATTGTCTTAGTTTGAACATATATAAACTGTTATCATCTAAATATAGGCCTTCCTCTGTCTTTTGGAGTTTTAGGTATGGATTAAATCTTTTGCGGTTGTCATTAAGTATTAAAAGGCTTGAAACTCTGAGAAAAAAAACAAGCAGAATTCTCCTATAATGATTTTTCATTTCCTCTTCTCCTTCCCATCGAATCTTCTCCTTCCCATCAAATTTCTCAGACTGTAAGGAAAAGGTGTGGCTCTTATAACAAGGAACCAAATGAATGAAAGTCCCTCGTCACTAAACTCTTGTAGGTCCCCCTGCTACATTGGTTGCTTTGTGCATGCTATTCATTGCTCCAGCCAATGCTTTGCCTCTGTGTGTGGTCTCCCGTTTGCTGCCTTGTGCTTGTTGTAGTTGGCTGCTACCGCTGCTACTCGTATTTTTGCCTACAGCTATTGCTCCGTAGTTCTGTTGCTCGTGTGAATGCCATTGTTTCCACAACATTCATCAAAGTAAAAAGGCAGCCACTACTTTTTCATCGTGGAAAAAAAAGGTAAAGATAAATCTAAGGTGATATAGAAAAACTAAATTAAAAAAATTTGTCCTATATATGATGTCTAATAGCTAGGTAATGCTAACAAAGGTTTGCCCCCACTAAAATTGAGATAAATCTTTCATTGCTTTTCACTTTAAATCATGATTTAGCATTTGTATAATGAAGCTCGCTTTCTACCATTTTATTTCCCAATGGTAGTCCAAATAGTAGATTTTACCATGGGGAGTTGTAGAAAGAAAAGAGATGTAACCTCTAGCCACCACCAACCCTCGTGGAAAAAAAATAGAGCTGGAACTGCCTCCATCCCCACAAAGATAACAAAAGAATCTCTCCCGCTGCAGCTGTCTCCAGCCCCACGAAGATAACAAAGGAATCTCTCCCACGATAGCTGTCTTTAATGATCCCACATTTATCACCTTCAGAATTTGGCACTAATGATTTGTTTATCCATTTACGATTAAGTTGGCGAGAAAAAAAAACAAGATAAAACTTACACAAACCCAAGGGAATTATGAATCTAGAAAAATATAAAGAGTTCAGCCACCTGCTCTGATACCTGGTGGATCGAGAAAAAATAGAACCAGTTATCAACTTTGTGACTCCTTAAAAGACAGTTAAAGAGGGGCCCTGTTCGCTCAAGTCTACAATATTTCCTCAAGGTAACAATAATGAAATATTAGCTCCAAATAATTTAAAGTGTGACAGAGGGAGTAGTTTAAAGAACTAAGCAAACAATAGCAAGATTCATATGATTCCTGTAAGAGTGAATGAGAATTAACTGACTTTTAATTTTTTTAAAAAATGAAAAAATCACTAGCAGGCACCCCATGGAAGAGGAAAACAAATCAAGAATATTTGTTGGAAAAAAAAAAATTTTGGCCTGCACGTTGAGTATTTATACCACGCCGTATCTCTAGATGACCTGGCCTCAAATTCCATTTCCACTTCTTCGGAAACTTTTTCTCCATTCTCTAAATAAACCATAAAAAAACAATTTTAATAATCATAATGACCAACTGAAGTGAAAGGATAATAAAATAGTAGACATGGATACAAACAACAAGAAAAACATTTCATATTAAAGTTATTATATACAAAATAGAAATGATGATTGAGCACACTGATTATGACCAATCCGTCCACATGTTTTATAGACAAAGTTCCAAAATATTGTTTGAGTTTAAGGACAATTGATAACTTCTAGAAATTTATAAGAGAAAAACAAATAAACACTAAAATTAGAACTGCCTAAGGTAAAACATGCTTAATTGGGTAAATATTTTGAAATAAACATAACATGCAAGAGCAAAACAATATATTCTCCAGAGGCTAAAAATATATATAGAGTCAAAGAACTAGAACAGGAAATAAGCCAGCGAACAACCAAATAAGAAGTGGCATCAAGAGTGACAATTTAAGAAGAGATGTTTTACGTAATTAACAGTGACATCAGGTGTACGATGCCAAGGGAAAACGCCAAAAGCTTAAGATACAAGGTTGATTGCCCAGTTTAACATAGACTGCATGGTTAATTTACAGGAATGGTTAACTTTGTACTTCTTACAAGATGTAGTGAAAAAAAATGTGAGAATTTGATTAAGGAAATTTTTTTTCTTGTTTGGCATTGCGCATGATTCGGATGAATGGTCTAATAGGTCCTGTCCTGATTTCTATCAATCTTAGTCGTTTTTTCCATGTAGAGATCAATATTTATTTTGGAAGATCTTTTAATTATCACCATAATAGTTCTCTACACATCCATCTACAATAGACAATAAAGAATCATTAGGATCATTTAAAAAAAATAATTGTCACTCACAATTCTGAGGAAAACCCTTTATCCCGCATCAAGCACTGATTAATTTGTAATTCCTAAAATGTAATTCAATCGGGTAATCATTCAAATTTGGAAAATAATACTGGTTTCTTAGGAGGTAATACTAGTCATTCACTTACTTTTAGGATCACATTCTATCCAAGTCAATTTGCTTGTTCTAATCCATGAACACGAAGAAACGGATAAGAAGATGAGATCAACATCAATAAGTAAATGCTGGTCCAAAGTGACCGTCCTGATCATCATATCACTTGAGCAAATGTCAAATGTGCATCATATAATAAAAGGGCCAGGATTTGAAAACATTGCCAAGCATGATAAAAAAAAACTTCTGATGTTTATGAAGGTAGTCAATGAAAGAATAAACCTTTATTCAGCCAATAATTAAAAAAAAATAGAACACTTCAATCTAGGGAGAAAGAAGGTAGCAAATATCAGCATGACAATGAGCATTACAAGAAAAAACTGAGCATTATTTTTCTAGTGGGTACCTTCAGGCAAATCAGAACTCTGGGATACATTGAGTGTCAAGCTTTCCTCGCCATCGGGACTCATTTCTTTTGAAGAACTTCGTGAGGTAGCATCCTCAGTTTTATGAAGCTTATACCTATTTAGGAACCACCGTCGTACCTGATATATTAAACAAGAATGAGAAGAATACTCACAAGTAGTACTTCAAAGTTATAAACAAATGATTGATTAGCAATTAAATATAATCATTCACAATTAATTACCTGCTGGATTTGTATGGGTTTATTTTCAACACGACCTGGAGCACGACTAAAAATAATTGGAAAAAAAAAATTAAATATCTTTAGATATCTTAGTCAATGGTAAGAAAAATTTACTTAATCATATTTATTTTTGCCTCGAACTGATAGAAGAGCTTAAATAATACAGCATGGGAATTACTTAAAATCATCAGCAAGCTTCTGGTGAAATTTTGGATCTAGCAAATCTTTTCCCTCCCGCAACAACATCTCCATATGCCTCATCTGTTCAAAGAAAAAGCAATAGACGCACAAATATAAAATAAATAATATGAGTACGTAGGTTGAATGGAGGTGCCTGGGCAGCTCAATTCCTGAATCATGTCAACACGAAAGTAAAATATATCACAATACATTTTGAATAACTGATAGGCTTATCATAAATCTCATGGAATGAATGCGTCAGGTTCAAAATAAGAGTTGTAATGATAATGGTCATGGGTTGTGATTCCATGGTAAAACAAAAGCATCCTAAAGCAGCATGGAACCCATCTAAAGAACAATGCCCTTAATAGGCACTATATGATGACGTCTTCCACAAATCAAGCTTATAAAAGGAATGTGGATGTAGTGGTGTCGGTAGACACTGATAAAACAATACAGCATATTTTTGGCAAAGGATTATTCAAAATTATTTATAAAGAATAACTTTAGCGCTTCAAGTTGCGCTTAGAAAAGACTAATGATGATGAGGATTGAGACTAAATTTACGTCTGACAAAAATCATGCAGAAAAACAACAGCTAGCAATATTTTTAAATACAAAACTGAGAAGGAATATATATATAATAAACGCCCAAGGGCTAATTCTATTGAAATTGAAAAGATACATAGAGATTGTATGAGAGGACCCAAAAAAAGGTGTCCTACCCATACGATACATCAGACACTAGCATCCAAAATGGATAAAACATATATAAATCACAAAAAAAAAAAACAAAACTTGCAGGAAATAAGTTGTCAGGCACGAGCCAGTTTGGTCTTGCCTCTGCCTCTGGTTCTAGGAGCGGAGACAGCTAACAAATTGTTGAGTGTTGTTTCATTACCCAAAAAAAGGTGTCCTACCCATACGATACATCAGACACTAGCATCCAAAATGGATGAAACATATATAAATCACAAAAAAAACAAAACTTGCAGGAAATAAGCTGTCAGGCACGAGCCAACTTGGTCTTGCCTCTGCCTCTGGTTCTAGGAGCGGAGACAGCTAACAAATGATAACAAATTGTTGAGTGTCGTTTCATTACCCGAAGTTACTAGAGTATCATCCATTAAGTTCCCAAGCTGGGGTGTGTCTTCATTCTTCTTTTTCTTTCTAGATATGTATATCTGTCATTCCACATCCGAAGACTGGTTCATTTGATCGGTGTGGTCAACAGATTATTGGGCATGTAGAAGAGAATGAGCCCCTAGCTCCTGACTAGCAGTAACAACATTCTGATTCTAAAGAGATGGTAAGCATGTCTCTTCAACACCTTTCAACATCTGATGCACATCCTGGGGATGTGGAGCTTCAATACTATACTGATTATCGGACCCAAGTAAACCATCTGCCAATATATCAGTCGGAAGAACAGAAACAGTATTGTCTCCGGTAGTGGGTAGTGCTCCGGTAGTGGGAGGGGGAGGTGGCATCGTGTCAACCGATGTTTCAATAGTCTGTGGAATGCACTCAGGAGCAAATGAGGGACATGTATGAGGTGGGGTAGATCCATTCAAAATAATCCGTAAGCGTGTGACACGGGGTTGCTTGAGGAGGCCGGCCAAGCTGGACTAGCTGGGGCCGGTCAACCTTCAGCTGGACTAGCTGGGGCCGGTCAACCTTCAGCTAGACCAGCACACGCCCCCTTTCTCTCTTCTCTTCCTTTTCCCTCCAATTATTTCTTTCACATTTCTATCAAAATTTTGACTTCTGAAGGCCAAGTCAGATTCACTGTAAACGTGTCAGCTTTGAGGGTTTAACTTATATCATCGCTAAAGCGAAGAGAAGCTCTTGATCAAAAATGTGGATCTTCAAACCTGGGAAGCGCAACCAAACAGGAATGGTAGGAGGTTCAGTACGAGGGTCAAAATCCACCGTCCATTTTAAAACTTTCATCATCCGGTTTTCTATTTGAAGAACTCTTCTCGCAAACAAATGGGTGTAGTCTTCGTCATTTGATAATTGAATAAGAATGTGACGACAATCTAATTTACCGATCTTCCAACCCTCTTTTAGCTTTCATTTGCTCAAAGTCCTTTCGACTTAGCTCAAGTTTAGAGTTTCCATACAGAAACTTATCTACTAAGAACAGTCGGTAGGGCGCAGCTAAGGTGGAGAACTCTGTCTCGGTGAGAAAGATTACAGGTTTGTCGTTTTTAGGGATGTTTTTTTGAGATATTCAGTTTCAATGCCAAGAGAAAAATTGTCGTGGTATCGTTGCGGAAACATATTCGAAAGAGGAGCGGAGATAAGGTTATCACTGGCGAGGACGGCGGCGTAGGAACGTCCTGAAGTCATTTCTTCAGCAAGTTGTCGATCGACACAGACTCTTCTCCGCCACAATCGACGACGCTGACACGAGATGTCGGCTTCTGTGAGGAGGAAGACGAAGGAGGAAAACGCGATGCGATCTGTCGGCTTCGAACAGAGGCTACCAGGTGCGATCCATTGGCTTCGAAAGAGGCGACGAAATGCGATCTGTCGGCTTCGAACAGAGACGACGAGACGCGAGCCGACACAATCAGCAGTCGACTTCAAAGCTGCGAGTCAACAACGACGTAGAGACGACGCCGGAGTAATGATCTTCGATAAGGGTTGCTAGGGTTCGACATGGGTCGAAACCCTAGTTGTCGAACCCTAGTAGAGCTGAGCGTGGAAGATAACATCATATATATATATATGTATATATATATGTATATGT